TATGCTTTCTGGGGTATTTGGCTGCAACACAGGATCGATGCACAGAAGCCATTTTTAAGTGAATTTGTTACCCATCACATTATTCAGGGCTCCGTGTTTAGAGCAAACCTTTCATCATGGTCAATAGTAACAAGGATTTGTCTACTTTTTCTTCTTAAAATAGTGTGAAAAAGGTTTATAAAGGACTCTTTCTTAATATCTGCATTGCTTTATTAGTAATTTATATTATTAAAAAGGAACTAAAGTCGTCTTTCACCAATAACCTTTCAGGTTTCTCAGCCTTCAAAAATTGTAGTTCTTAATTTAAAATTTGGCAATTTATGGGATAATGTGCAGGCCTTCAAATGAACTGGGTTTAACAACAAACATAAAAGTATGGAAGCTTGTTTCTGCCACTGGGGGAAAAAAACATTTGGAAATAAAACAACATCCATAAAGTCAAACATTTTAGTTCTCATCTCAAAAGTTTAAATCTGTAACTTGAAATTTCAAGGTTTTTCTCAGATGTTTGAGTTGGTACGTTGAAGTTTTTTAAAAGTTTATTTTTTATTAAGTGGCAGAAAGAAGCTTCCATATACCAACATTAAAAAGTGACAGTTTAACATCTAAATACAGGAAAGAAATATTATGATCTTTGCTCAAACATAAAAATAAATACTAAAGTAAAAATGAAATGTTATACCTTAACTGGGACTACATGCATATTTGAGTGTTAGTTGGCTTAGTTTGAACAGCAGTCATTAAAGCTTCACTTCAGTGTCTCATTCATTCATCACTGATGTTCACATTTCCTGCCAGCACATTTACTGTGAACGTAAAAAATATGTCAACACGATTAAACGTTCAATTTAAAAAGCTCAACGTATAACTCAAAATCTGACGCTTCCAACGACTCGTCGTGACTTTTAATATATGTAGAAATTAAAACACGATAACACCTAAAAATTGAACTTATTAATATTTGCTGTCGCTGTAAAAAAAGATGTTTACACCAGTAAACACAGCGGGAGAACAGCCCCATATTTCCAGTTATGATCAGTGGAGAAATGCACGAAATGCTGATTTATTTATTTTTCCATCTCCAACTCAAACTCCTGAATTATTTATGTAGATACCACTTCACATTTCAGAGGTCAAAAAAATAATATTTATTTTTTAGGCCTTTCATTTATTTAGCTTTTAAAGTTTCTGGAAAAACACACAGAAACAGCAGCTGTCATGTTTCTGTGATTATGTGGAGTTAAAGAAGCAAACAAGCACACTATAAACACTAGTTTCTTCATTTACAGGGTATGGCTTGAAAATTGATAAATATTGCGTCGACAGGTAGCGTACACCTGTGTGCCTGTTGTGTTTAAAGAATGATGCATCCTCAAATTAAACCACCAGTTATTGTGATGTTAATATGACAAAAAATAAATAAAATAAATACCACGGCAGTCTCAAATGATCGCATGCATGATAATACCGATGGCTTTAAGCTGCTAATGCTGGCTTAAATTAAGGATTTGGAATAATTCATGACAGAAATCTCTCTTCAAGAGAATTGATGGATGATCACAGGATTATGTGACCGCTCAGTAATTCAAGCCTGGAGATGATATTATTGCTTTAAATATGTTATAACCTGAAATAAACAGCTGATTCCATCTGTCAGATAACTACATGTGTATGTATATGTTTGTGTGTGTGTTCATTTCATCCACACATGCGCCGGCACAGACACGTGAAAGCAAAGCTCTTACTCTGGCCGACTCTCAGCACCAGCTTCATGGATTTGGTCCTGCACACCCCTCCATTAGTGTTATCCAGACCCTGCAGGAAGCCCGTGGAGGTGGCTGATAAACACAGGGAGGAGGCAAAAATTAAACACTTTTTTCTTCCCTTCCCCAAGTTTCGTGTAAATAATAAACGATTATCAGGGAATGCATAATTACGCGACGACTCCTTTGCAGACAAGTTGGGTCAGTTGCCAAAAGTTGCATCACTTATGCAACAAAATGCCACACATAGCACAAGCTGTGATGTTATAAACAGCAGATAATCACACATGTGAAAACACCACAGAAGGTACAGAAGATGCGGCGAGGGCTGAACCAAAAAGATACTTAATTTTTTAGTGTATATTCTTTAAAAAAATTTAAATTAAAAAAAAAAAAAGCTGTAATGCTCCCAAAATACTTAACCTCCAAAACATCTTGAAGAAAACCTGAACAGAGTGAGAGGATTTGTTGCAGGATGGTTGCATTAGTTGCAGTTAGGTGAAGCCAGCAAACTGGAAATTGAGTGTGATGTTGCTGAATGTACTAACCAGTGAACTGACTAAGCATTGCATCTCAAGATGCAACACGGGAAATGAGACGAATGGAGAATATTTTAGCAGCTATCCTTTTGAATCAATAACCAACACTCGCATGAGACACACACACACACACACACACCAGGAACTCTCACTCACCCCTGTCATTCACACACATACTTGTTAGCAGCATTTAGGTCAGATAACAACATCTCGCAGGCTACAAGCCACGTTGCCATGTAAGCTCCCATCAAATCTGCCTGATGCTGTAAAAGCCTTCTGTGATTTGGGGCATGTAAGCCCTTGGAATCACACTGGCCTGCCAGAGCGAAGTGTGCTGTCAGAGCGTGGCGAGGTGGGTGAGGCTACATGGTCAGACTTGCTCTCTATCTCATGCATCACTTGCCTCTTAAGATGCTGGTTTAACCGACGGCAGTCCAATAACGAGGCCACGTTTTTTTGTGTGTGTGCGGGTTTTTTTTTTTACTTTGATTCTCACGCAAACTGACAAATTGAGAGGGAGCCAAGGATGATGGCGTCCTCTTTACCCAGAGAGAGAGAAGGAGAGAGGGCAGGGGAAGGAAAAAGGAATCAGCTTCTAGCGTGGATTTAAAGGCGGTTCCACCTGTAGGAACCAGCTGCTTTTTTCCCCATCCTACTGAGTTTAATTAGAACGTGTGCCACACGTTTGACAGCCATGGCTTCAGACACAAAAAAACACTCACAGGTTATGTAATAGTCCTTCCCCTTGAGGAACTCCAGACCCCACAAGTTGGGGCTGAATTCCTGAAACTTGAACGTGAACTTTACATCACGGTTTGGTTTGTCGCAGTTCAACAGAGGCGTGTCAGTCTGGTCAATGGTGCAGCTCTCCAGCTGACTTCGCGAGACCAGGAAGACTCTGTAGAACTCCTCCTTTCCCCCAGAGGAAGCATCTTCCCTGGGGCACACAATGTCCATCTTGTCCCCTATCTGTGGATACAGGATGAGACCCTGACCAGGAGTAAACCTGTGATAAAAGAGAGAAACACAACACTTTTTTAAAAAACAACATAAAAATTCTGTTAAACCAGCAGAGACTGGATCATCTTCACTTTATGCAATTCTCTGCTTGAACTTGATGGATAATAAAGTGGCCACATTTTAACTTCAGTGATATAAATAAGAGCGTTTCAACAAGATCTTGCAGGTTTTCATTTGATCACATCAGACCAGAAATTTGTCTTAAATTGCTTGTTTAGACTGAACAGAACAAACCAAAAACCAAACACCGCAGTCATAAAGGAAAAAATGTTAAGTGATCAATCATGAAGTGGATCAACCGAATATTAGTCTACAGTAATCCCTGGAGCTATTTTTTAAAGCTCCCCAATTCCATCACTTCAGAGGATTTTTTTGTGTTATATGAATATAAGATAATATAAGAATATAATATAAGAAGAGCACATGCAGAAATGTATTGGTTTCATCACCAGCTAATAACATGGCGAAGATAAAAAAAAAGTCATTAATTAATACAAATCATTCTGTTTAGTTTCAAATGGCACAGGAGAGGAGCTGGAGCCTGGCGGTGTTCGGTGTTATCAGTTACTTCTCAGTCATTATAAATCACTTCTGGAAAATGTCACTGAGCAGATTTCTGTCAGTCCACAGCAGAAAGTTGTATTGATCGCAAAACTGATTCCTCCACTTACTTGGCATTGGAGCTGCTCCAGTGGATAGACTCCAGAGTGATGGCACGGCATGAGCAAACGATGGCCAGCAGGAACAGGGCACCGCAGCACCATGCGCTGCTCCCCATCCCAGGAAGAAATCGGAGACTGGCTACACGGAGGCTCGGTATCATAAACCGGCTACAATTTGCTGTCCCTGCATGTCTCCGATTGCTCCAGGTGCGCGCAAAGGACACGTTCCCGAATGAAATCCCACCAAGTTGCAAGTTTTCCTCCTGCGGCTGTTTGAAATGTTCCACATTGTGCGTAATTGGCTGGAAAATAATTCGTGTGACGAGATCCGTGTATTGAGGACAGAGAGAGTGTGCAGCGTTTAAAGCCATCAGCTGACCAGTCCGCCCATACGGGCTCGTGCGTAAGAGAAAGCCGGGGCTGGCTGGCACATCGATTGGTGAATTTTTATTTATTTATTTTTTTCACATTAACATACTGTACATTGCGTTACATGCACGAGCCATAAAAAAAAGCGCATTTTTAAAAGCGTATTCAACACATTTTGTGGAAATCCAAGTCTGGCTGTTTTCCAGACGATTAAATAATAATAATAAAAAATCCAGAAATTATTGCACTTACTTTTCTCAGAAGCCACAGATCTTTATCTGTTTCTTCTTCTTCTTCTTCTTCTTCTCGAAAGTGGGTTTGGGAAATATTAAGGGTCTAAACCAGCTGTAAAACGGTTTGGAACTAATTTATAAGGACGTCATGTCCTTATAAGCGCGTTTAGTGTGTTAGTTTTTTTTAGAAACACATTCGTGTCTTGTATGATTGACTATTTGTCACTATTTCAGGAGATCTACATTTAATTAAAGCTTTTTTACATTTTATTTTAATATTTTAATAGATTTTTTTTACACCTTCTGTCTCCTGCTATGTGCTTACGTCACAGGCCATGAGGAATCTGGGGTAGCATATTAATTATAATGGTAATAATAATTAGCACATGGATATATTAATATTCTATAATAATAATAACAATAATAACAATAATAATAATAATATTAAACACTGTTTAATTAATTAATTAGATTATCATACTGTTGATTGGCCAGGGGGCGTAGCTTGTGTTGATCTTGTGACCTGATGTGTGCTTCCTGTCAGTCAGTCACAGAATGATTGTTGGGTTCTTAGCTTTAGGAACCTACTTATACAGACTTAATGTGTTTGTAGAGCTCCACTAGACTAAATGAGGGTCCATCACCGGCTCTCCTGTCCCTTAGGAAGCCTCAGAGGACAGGAGCAGAAGATGCTTTTTTGTAGGCTTGTAAAAACTGGTGTGAATATTTGTGACACATCCTGTCACACCAATAAGCCCTAGTGCAGTTCGTCTTGTGTGCTTAGTCCTCTAGAAACAGCAGTGATAACCTGGCATTGTTTGCTATGAACACTGAGAGAAAAAAGTCCCTGGAAAGCAAAAAGAAGAAAGAAAAATCACTGGTCCATTAAAACTCAGTGTCTGATGGTAAGTGTGTGGCGTGTTTCTTCTGTTGCATGTTATAAAATGTGCGTTTTGTGTTTGAGACACAGGCTATGACTTCTTGTGATTATCCTAATGTTGTAGTATTGTGTATGTAGACGACTGCTTTTGATCTCAGAATCTTCACAGATCTGCATCTTTTGCCACTTCTCACGGTCACAGCTGCATCACAAACATATGTTTGTATTATATCTTCATGTAGCTGTTTTTCTTAGATTTATAGTGTACATATTATTTATTTATGCAATTTGCACTACTCCATATCTATTTTTTTAACAAAAGCTTCAAAGAAAAATGGAAGCGCTCAAATTATTTTCTTGTTGTTGGGCTGCTCGTGCGGTGCAGTCCCGGAGAAAGAAATAGAAATACACCCGGTTCTATAGAACAGTTGTTCTAGGGGAACAGTGTTGCACATCTTAATGAAAAGTTAACACACAGACGGCCACAGACGCGCTCTCGGTGCTCTGCAGCGAGCGAGAAATGATGCAAATGAGGGAAATCCACAGAGTGGACCAAACTAATGACTGTTTTTGATGACCAAATTGTTTCAGTGATAATCTATTCTTACCTGAAATGTATTCGTTTAACCTCAGAGCTTCTCCAAGTCTTCTAAACCAGACATCGTTATTGACTTATCTAAACACACACATCAAAGAGGGTTTTGGCCTTTTGCCAAAGGAAAATTACCAGGACTGTGACATAAATATCTTCAACCTGTACTTTTTATACAGCGGGCTTTAATTTACTCAAGTTTAAAACAATTTATTTTGTTTAGAAAAAGGCCAAAAATACCAGGATAACGCATAAACTCCTTTTAACTACGTTAACAGAGACACCTTCTTATTACCATTATAATCAACCATATGTAGAGCAGAAGCTGTTCTGAGGCAGGAAAAACCCCGTTCTGTTTGTGTGTTTTACTTGTTGCCTTGCTCTGAGTTCATAGTTGAAGACTTCTCTGCACTCAGAGAGACTTAGCGGTCGGTTTCATCTGACCTGTGAGTGTTTGAACCTGTGACCACGTTAAACAAAGAGGGCAGCCAGCCGGAGACCTCTCAGGCAATTAGAAGTTAGGATGAAAAGCAAAATGTGTCATTCTTAACTTGTCATCGAGTCTTTCCGTGTGTCTAACATGGCATTGCAGCATAATTGTTGATGACTGGCTGCTGATGTCCACATCTCTGCGAGCGTGTGGACTGTGATGCAGCAGAAGTGAAACTCCGGCTTGGTCGGCACATTAATGGTAAAACCCTTTAGCACCAGCAGAGAAGATCTCAGCCACCGCCCCTCCTAACATCCACACGCAGATCCGGGATTTTTTCTCTTTCTTTAACAAAAAAAGTCAGTTATGCAAGTCCTACCAAGAGAATGACATTTATCCTACAATCAAGTTTCTATTCTTCTCAGTGGACTATTTGCAGAATGAACCTCAGGACAAGAAAGTACTGGTTTGAAGGATCATGAACGTTGAGGTTCAGGGGAAACACTGATGTGGTGACGAGTAGAAAGGGTAAAGGAGTGAAAGCTGTGACTCACACTATCACCTCGAATGAACCTGATGTATCCAGGACGCGCAGACTTTAATGAGGTCAGGACATAAAGATGACCACGAACTGCTAAAACAGATGTATTTCTACAGAACCTCATGCAAATGAGTACAAGAAATCGCGCACATGGTGGATCTTCTTTAAAGTCATCTGTACGTTCTGCATCCGAGACTCTAATCCTCTGATTTTCAGGAGAGCCCGCGCTAATGACAAAGATTACACAGGACTTCTGTCACAGCTATGAAGCGCCACAAGTGACGGCTGAACTGCCCGGAGATGTCTGCATCTCTGTCGGGACATGACTGGGCTGTAAGTGTTCAAAGTGCAGGCAGCATCTTTCATATTTATAATTCATTTAAGCCTCAACATGAGAAAGCAGACTCTGAAATGTTTTTTCTCTCTCTCATGTAAACATTCAATTCATACAAGTCCAACTTTTGCTTTTCCTGAAACAAATTTAAGGCACACAAGTCTCACATGCTTTGTAATTGGTTTTATTTTCTTGTCATGCAACTTAGAGTAAATACACAGCACAGCTTAAGCTATTTACAGTCTGTGTTAGCAAAATTTTTGGGATTTCTCAGCTGATCTGTGAAATCAACAGAAATCTAAAAATGAACCTTTAACCGTTTAGTTTGTTTGATGAGAAACTGGCTTCCTCTTTCTCTTTAACCGCTGTCATCTCTAGCAGAGCTGATTCATCCGTAATGCTCACATTTTAAAATGGTACTTTTTCCACTTTTTACTGCATCCATGCACCTGTAAATACACTATAACAGCAAAGTAGTAAGGTGGAAATTATTCTTTTAGTTGGTAGTTTTGTGGAGAGCTCAACAGGACTCACTGGAAACATTAAGGTGTTAGGCTAAAAGTCAGAGAAGCAGAGAAGAGCACTGACTCTTTAAACTCAGATGTAAGGTTGTGCCAAGGCAGAATTTAAAGAAATTGTGGGTTCCTCAAAGATTCGATGAGCCAGATGCAAAAACAGAGAATTGTGATTAGAGAATTTGGTCTTTTTCTTTCTGTACTACTTCATATGTAATACAACAGGAACTGCAGCTATTTCATATTTCCTTGCAGGTGTCGCTGCACCGCTGCACAAAATGCTCCCAACGGGCACCAAACCGACAACCCTGGAGTTATAACCATCTAGACAGCTTAAATTACAGCCAGTGACACAGAGCATGTGCTTGACTGAACGGTTATTCCCCTGCAGTTTCGCTCTGTTCCTGCAGATGCGTCATATTCCTCAGGGTCATGATGACTCCTCTTTTTCGTCGTAGCAGTGGCCTTCAGCTTTTTTTGTCCTGTGAGATCTCCCAAAGTGAAGCTAATGCTAACATGTTAGGTGTCTGTTAATAAGAACAACCCCTATCACGATTAGCATTAACCTCAACCTGGGACCATGCTTGAAGGCTCCCGTGCTTTACTCCCATGCTTACCTCAATGTCGGCAGTGTTGAAGGTGTCCTGCAGGGGGTGACAGACAGTCTGATTAGAGAGCATTTATACACTCCAGCTGCAATGTTTCCTTCACTACAGAAGCTACAAAGCGGCACAACACTGTGACTTTGTGGAAATCTCGATTTTAGCTGTAAATTTTAAAGATTTAAGAGGATCTGCTTTACGTTCTTTCTCATTCTCTCTCATAATTAAAAAATACTTCAAAATGAGGCTTTAAGGCAGAAGGACTGTGCTGATAGTTAAATTCTGATTATTCTTACTCCATTAGTTGGAAATGAAACATATAAACTGATCACTGCCCTCAAAACTGAGCTCTTTTCCCCTCTTAAGTTTGACATTCAGTTAAATTGAACTAAATGTCATAAACTCATGTGTGTGACCCTCTAAATTCTTTGTCTGTACCTGAACTGGGCTTTAAAAGACTGAAAAAGTCCAGGTGTGGCACAGCTGGAAGTAAAGTTATGTATCTGCCGTAACTCCTCAGAGACACCGCGAGCAGCAACAGGATGTAGCAGGTGCTGTTATGTTGACTTTGGTTAAGAATCAAGATACTAATCTTGGTTAACAGGAAGCAAGTGTAAGTTTGTGTGTGTCTGTTTGTTATAGTGGTAGTTATGAAGCTACTGACCTGTCTCAGCAATGACAAAACACTTCCTCAGCAACCGGTCTCTCTCTCTCTCTCTCAGTTTCTCTCTTTGTCCTTCCTCGCTTAGCTCTTCGCTCTCCTCAGTTTCCTTTCCTCCCCTCTGTCTGACTCGCTTGTTTGCTCTTGTGTAAGTGTAAACCAACTAGTGGGTATTCTTGA